ACTACCTACTACCTACTACCTACTACCTACTACCTACTACCTACTACTACTACTACTACTACTACTACTACTACTACTACTACTACTACTACTACTACTACTACTACCTACTACTACTACTACTGCTACTACTGCTCTACTACTACTACTACTCCTACTGCTACTGCTACTGCTACTGCTACTGCTACTGCCACCACCACCACCACTACCTACTACTAGTGCGAATGATAATAATGGTAGTAATACCGCCTATACTACCGCTACTACTACTTCTTCTGTTTTCCCACCACTGCTACGACTACTACTATATACTACTACTACTACTACCACTACTACGACTACTACTACTACTACTACTACTACTACGACTACGACTACGACTACGACTACTACTACTACTACTGCTACTACTGTACTACCACTACCACTACCAGTACTACTAATACTGCTACTGCTACTACCACCACCACTACTACTACTACTACTACTACCACGACTACTACTACTGGCCGAACAAGCGAATGGTTGGCCACTGACCCAGTCAACAAAAACATAAACACTAGCATCTATCGTAGCAACGATGTACATCGCCCGCCAACCGGCCGATAGCGTACCAACCGGCTTGCCGGCCGATCGCGTACTAGCAGGTTACCCGCGCTGTTTACTACCAGGAACCAGAAGCTACTAGGAGCAAGGGGCATCGCTACTAGGAGCAAGGACGCTACTAGGGGTTCCCGGCCTTACTATAAACTAGGAACAAGAAGCTACTAGGAGCAAAAGGCATCGCTACTAGGAGCACGGACGCTAGTAGGGGCTCCTGGCCTTACTATATATTAGGAACAAGAAACTACTAGGAGCAAAGGGCATCGCTACTGGGAGCAAGGACGCTACTAGGGGCTCCTGGCCTTACTACTAGGAGCAAGGACGCTAGTAGGGGCTCCTGGCCAAAGACCTTATCGTTTTCGATCTCCTGGCCTGCCTGCACGTTTGCAAACCTCAACTCGGCAGGAATGTCGCAAGGCGCTCGAGGTGGGTTGTTGAACCGCGCTCTGCGGCAGAGCGCTTTGAGATTCTCCAGCATTCTGTCCACACGTGCATGACCTCCAATGCCAGCAAGAGGCCAGAGTTGACCTAGAACTGTTTGCAGGCGCGTGGTGTCAAGGAGAACTTTGGAAATTGGAACAACTTCTACGACCTGAAAAGAGTAAAACGAGCGTGGCCCTTGACCAGTCCTCATGTGTGATGTGATGTGGCCCAGATTGTGCATTGCTGCATTGCGGGTATTACGCATAATCAATCATAATCAGGTGCAATTGCTTTGAACATCTTCACAAGGTTTGCAACGTGATGCCACCGGAGCATCGCGCGCTCACTTTGTACCTTGGCTCTAGTCACGTGCACAAATTGGGTCACAGGGAAGGATCAGATCTGAGTTGGGAGCCTCTTCAGGTCGCAGCTTCGGATCCTGGCCAACATGCTCCGTCCGTGACTAAATGATCAAGGAACAAGTCGGAACAAAGGTAGAATAGCTACTGTTGAGTCCTTAAGGGCTGTCGCCCGTCGGCTTCTCCAACAGGCTGTCCTTTTGATCTTGAACGAATGCCTTCGCAGCGGCAACCACAGTAGCTCAACGCGCGAGTTTCAACTCAAGAGAAAAACACCAAAAGCATCCAATACCGGGAAATAAGGCATCGAGGCCACCATAGCCACAATTGAGGCCAAAAGGGACTCTCTGAGGACCACTTGTTTCCCCAACCAACAACGGTTGGGACTTGAGGACGATGCAAGGTTACACTGCACTCCTATCTATTATTGGCAGGTTTGCTGATCGGCAGTGACATCACGAGAAAGGTGTGACTGTGGAAAGCACATTGGCACGCCCATTATGTCCAGACGCCATGGGCCCAACACATCCTCAAAGGATATCTGCAAAGACCACCCTACCTTCGGCCCAAGGCAACAAAAAGCATCTGTAGCACACATCCAGACGGTTGCCCTTTCCACCTAAATAAATTGGTGTGGCAGTTACAGAAAGCCGAGGCCCAGAGTGGTTTTCGTGATGAGGGAAGCGCCACTTTATTCCCCGGATAGCGAGAGCTATTGGGGTTCTTACTTCAAATATAGGATCAGGCCTCACAACCCAATCCTGCCATCTAGAAGCCCATGCATGGTTGCCCATAACATCATACACTCAGGTGACACTCCCAACGCACACACACAAGATCACACAAGGCATCACACGGGAGTGGCGGATATACTATGTAGTATTGGCGTGACGTGTTCTTTGTATTTCTCAACAATTGAAGGTTTGGGTCAAGTCTGTAATTAATATGTTTACCGATGCAAGTAGAGTCCAAAGATATGCCGAAGCAACTGTGCAAATCATACAAAGCATGTAGCGGCGGTTTGCACTAGCATGACCCGTTTTTAACAGTAGCAATTGCTTCGGTTGCCTTCACAGGGCAACGCTTCGTGGACTATGGCGGATTGCCTACATGGAATCGGGCAAGCTCTCGGGACTTGTGGAACAAAGACAAGGTGCACAAGTGAATTCAGCTGAACTGAACACAAGAGATTTAAAAACCAAAGATCTATTGTGTATAGATTCTGTTCGGTGCATTCGGTAGGTTTTGACTTTTGGCATTTCAGGGCTCGATGCCAATTTGGTGCTCCATTTATGTTAAATGCTGTGTTCCTATGTTGGTGTTCACTTTTATTTGTCTATTCCCTTCTTGAATGTTCCGATGGCCGGTGCCCCCCATTGCCTGGCGCTTTTGCATATTGGGAAGAATAGAGAACCAGTGGCGCCGCGGTGGTTTCTGATCAAACGATCCCATCAGCAACATGTTGATCAAATGATCTGTTGGGAAAGCTCTGCAGATTCCACAGATGAACGCCTTGGTTTCCTTCATTTAACACCTCTCACCAGTGCATCGACAATTGCGGTGCAGGAATTGCATGTTCTGCGGGACATTCTCCCCAGCAACAGCTCTTTCACTGAGTGCCTTGTTTCAGCCAACACCAAAGAAAGCAGAGCGAAACAGACGTGGTTGAAGCCAGCAAAGAGTGTGACATCATGCAGAAACAGGGGTGATGCTGCATTCCTTGTTCGTAATCTTATTCTTTCACTAACTAAGGTGTTTTCAATCCCAGCCCCAGCTGCCGGACACCTATGTGATTTGCCCAGAGGACTGGCGCTAACATGATAGCTTGCAAAGCTCTTTCAGGCATTCCCTATTGATAGCGAGTTGAAATTCCAGGATGTAAAGCTGGTGGAACTCTTCAACGCGATTGAACTCCATGCTGAGGACCGCCGAAATGGGAGCTGACATGGGAAGCCATTGTTGATTTTGCTGCCTAGAGGCACACCTTCTGCCGGAGAAGACCACCTACTATGTGGATGCTTTGTGCAGAAGGCGCTGCAGCAAACAGTATTGCCTTGATGCTTTGCTAACCACAGTCGTGCCAAAAAGGAGGGGCGAGTTGGAGAAGTCTGCCAATGACTCATCCCAAAAGACCCAGCGGCTGCTCTCAAGCACTTCGCGTGGAGTACTGTCTTGGACTTAGGAGGCTTAGGCGTCATCAACCGCATGGGTTGAACACTGTCAGGGACAACCCCATCCTGGTATTATTTTTATGTTATATATAACACAAGAATCCACAAAGTTAGGACATGGCAGCGAACACAGTGTATTTCCTTCTTCAGTTTTGTTTGCGTCCATGCTTGCATTTCATACTTCTTGCTCTATGACTGCTTGAAAGATGTGCAACAATGGAGAGGGCAGAAGTCAGGGCTTTTGCATGTTGTGAGGCTGATCTTGGACCAACCAACCAGCATGACTTGGCGACAAAATGTGGCCAGCTTGTACCCTTGACAGCAAACATATACTGTAATGCGTCTTGCTTAAATTCTCATTAAATTTGAATTCTATATAACTTATTTATTGTTTCTAATAGCTTTTTGTTACTAGTAGTATGGCCAGGAGCCCCTCGTAGCGTCCTTGCTCCTAGTAGTAAGGCCAGGAGCCCCTAGTAGCTTCGTGTTCCTAGTAGCGTTCACCAGTGTTTTGAACCAACATATTACATTAGTCTGCTTTACCTCCAATTCCAGGTGGTGCTTGTACGAGCTGTTCTTTGCGGAGAGACAGGCTGTATGTGTGTCCTTTGTGCATGATAGCCTTGCAATGTTTTGCTTCTGAGGGCCTGCTTTGGGACGTCGCTTGCGGAGAAGGTATTCTCGCAATGCGGGCACCTCTGTCCACTAAGCGGTGGGTGTTTGGCCAATTTGATTCACAGATTGCCTGGAATTTGGCACGGATACGTGTCAAAGCAGAAGCAGCGACGTGTACAGTGGCAGAGGAGAAAGACATCCTTTTAGCAAAATTGCCACTCGGCTCTGAACTATAGCATGCCACTCAACATGTTAAAGAAGTCTTAGGGCCTTTTAGGGCTCCTGCAGCAAGGTGCTCACAAGAATGAAGGGTTGAGTTTGATCCCATGCGCACTTTTGGCACGATTGAAAGCACTAGGCATTTGCAAAAGATATGCGGCCACAAGCTGGAGTAATATGCTGTAGATGAAAACACATTGTCAATTTCATTTGCGGTACTTTCTCTTCTTGTGCTAGTACTTTAATCAACCCGATTACAGCAACGCTATGACTGCTGAGGAATGAATTTGGGAGAAACATTGTCATGGAATTTGAGCAGAACATGACCGCGAAAGTTTCTCAGCTGGCATCAAGCGTTCACAAGTTTCGGAATGTTTCAGAGAGATTCAGGGGGGGGTTTAACAACTCTTCTTCTTTGGGCGACTATTTGCGACAGGTACCGTCCAGGATGCTTGGACCAATTCTTCGTCAGGCAGGTTGGCCGAAGAAAGATGAGTTCACTTGCAATTATTGAACATGGTGGCCTCTCCTGTCAAGCATTTATGTGGATGCACTCATGTCTCCAGGCTTCAAAAGAATCAGATGATCCTTCAAAATGGATCCCTGCAATGGTTGGGGGTCAGCTTTTTTGGTTCAGTTGCAAGGCTGCCTGCATGCAAAACGATCATGACATCCGACGACTGCGCGGAGCATGTGATATCATGGCAAAGCTTCGATGTTTCTTGGCATGACAGTGCTGATGGATCCCAGCATATAATATCATATAAGCACTTACAAACATGCAAAGGTATCTCAATACAATTACAAGGGTGCAAACACGAGCAACATTATTCACATTGGCTGACCGTCCAAGAGACTGCCCAGGATACACGGTGCAAAATAGCTTAAGGCGGCCTTTCTTTCACTAACCTACGGGGAGT